CTTCCCCCAGCTGGAGCGCAAATTTGACAGCAACGTGGAATTCCGAGAAATCGTGCGGGCTACAGTCAAAATTAAAATTAGTTGACTCAGTCGCGCGCCCCTCTTCACCCATTACAATGTTGGTTGGGGTCGTCACGAATGACATCATAGATGATTGTAAGCAACATTGTGGAGGGGGAGAGGGGGAGCATACCAGAGACTAATCACACATTGTTGTCTCTCTCTGTACATACTTTTGCGTTTGACTGGCTTCTCAAAGTAGCCGGATTCAGAACCACTGTGCCCAGCTGATCTCCGATCGGGGTGGGTAGTACACCGTTCACTGCACTTCGTGGAGGATGAATGTACTGCAAAGATACTCCACGTGGGTAGTCTTCGCAAGTAAGTAATTGCAGTCCCCGTTCAGTTATGGTAACAGCTCCTTTTGCATATTCCCCATATTGAATCCATGGCTCCATGAAATTCTCTCGCATACCCCGTAAGAACAATTGTGCATCCGATTGAAAAGTTGATATCTTTCGTTGTATCAGATGCTTATAGTCGATGGAACAGCTATCGCCCGCAAGCTCATGACCACCACATACACAACGAACTGTTGGAATGGAACTTGCGCCAAGGTATTTTTTCACATCAGCGACTCCCACCGAAGACTTTAACCGCTCAAGCACTTCTCTTTCCTCAGATTGGTCAACAATACAGTACCGTACTTCCCTGAGGTCAGTCTCACGGTACTATTCGAGCGATGATGTCTCCTGTATCCAACATCCTCTCAAGGAGTCAGGTATCATCTCCCCATCGCTCTACAGCATTGCAATATTGCCCTTGCTTATCCAGCCGATAGAGAGCTAACGACCACTACACGGACGGCCACGCAGCCGCCCATTTCACTATCCCGTCTTTGTCCAGGTACAGCAGTCCTTACATAACTTTCATTGACGACTCCAGTCTATCAACTCTCTGATACGTTCATAAGCACGCCTACAAAGGCCTTGCCCACAAAGATGATGTGCCATTTGTCTATAATGTAGCGCCAGCAGTTATCGCACCGTAATTTGCGGCTTCCCCTGTAAATTACAGGCTGTAATATTTTCTTCTCCAACTTGTACCTGTTGATACTAAGTACTATGCAATATCTCTTACCAGTCGCCTCACAACGTTCGCACTGCTTCTGCTACTATCACTACTCGTCGAGTCCCCACTGTTCCAGCGTACATTTCTACTGCCACAAAACTCACATAAATCGACTCTCTGTGTCGATATGTATATCTTACACCTCTTCCGGTTGACTCGTTCTCTCTTCCGGCTTGTCATACCAAATTGAAATGGTCCACTTCTGTTGACTGAATCAAGTATGATAATGCCAGATTACCATATATATCATTGGTTAAACCAAGACAATAAAGTACTTGTATTCGAACCAATTTGGTTTAAATACAAGCACGTAATCGTCTTCCTCTATCTCAGTCGAGGCTTACACGTTACGTACTAATATCGAGTTTGACTTATCCTGCACAACCTCTCTTATCCCAAAGCCGATGAAGATGATGCAGAGGAAAACAAAGATGAGGTAGCCTGCTGCTGACTTATCGCTGGGTCGGCATTCGCATTGACTCTTCGATACGTTCTCCCTATAGTCATAGGCATAACACGCCTAATCTAAGCAACTGGAAGTCATCTATGCAATCCATGCTAATCTGAGCTAGTACTACAAATCCGAGCAATGGCTCCAATTCTATGTCAATTGGCTATGCCATGCGACCTGGTTTTGGCGAGACAACAGTGGAATCGCAGTGCGAATATACGATAAGGCCATAGTTGCTAGTCACAGTGTGACTATGCTGTGCTGTTACACTAGCACACCATTTCACACCGCACACTGTCACAGTGTGTCACACTGTGTCCGTCACACTAGTCACCAACGCGCTAAGTAGGTAAGCATGAAACATTTAGTGAAGAAGTCATTACAATTGTCGTACATCAGGAACATGTAACCTACGCTTATAGAATCATAACAGCAATCGATACTCGTTATCGCTCGTGTCGCTCGCTTCACCAGAATCAACACCACGTCCCGATGTACGAGAATCTGACCATGCTAGGGGATCGACCATATCTTCGTTATACGATAAGCTAACAATATCGCGTAGGAAAGCAAATCGTATACACGTTAGGAAACAACGTGGGTGCTTACCGGCCGCTTCAGTTCCTTCGATAGGAGAATCATTGCCGAATTGGCTGGTTTGGCTGTATATTGAGCGATATCCATCACTGCTGTCGCTCGACTCCTCTTCTCCAGAAGACGATTCGTCATCAGTTAGGGTATCATAGTCATCCTCGCTTGACTCATCAGTTCCAGATAGAAGCGAGACGATACCTGTCAAAAAACAAACATGGCCAATACCCAAAACACCTGGATTCCGTGCAGTTGCTCGTCCTCGTCTCAAGCCAGCCATGCGCCTATTTTCTGGGATGTACCTCTGGGCGTCATGTCTGGGATCGGGACACGATGCTGATATTCAACTCACGGTGGTCGGCTCCCTAGGTAGGCTTCCATCACATACCCATGCCCGCAGCATGCCCAGTCACGATATTCCTTACATGTACAGCTAGGAGGGATTCTCTGACGGCCGAACCCGGTCCGCTGCTGCCGAGGCGAGACGGTGACGAGATAGTAGCGAAAGTAATGCCTTAATACTTTTGTAAAAGTCAGATCGCCATCTGCGAGTGAAAAAATTCCCGAAGAGATGTCATTTGCAGTCGAACCTTCTAACTCATCCAGCAAAATGCCTCGGAGGAAGAGCTCAGTCCTCTCTCTCGTTTCGGCATCGGCATGCTGTCCTGGTGAGCTGTTATTCGGAAGCAGGAAATATCGTGTACCGATAGTACTCTCAATTGAATCAGTGACCACAGTCGTGACCTTCGAACATTGAGTTGCCAAAAATGCAATAAACGTCTTGCAGTTACCTCAGTAACGCATCCTCGTTGATGAAACTTGGTTCCTCGAAGTTTCATAT